GAAAAAAGACAAAAAGGAAAAAAAAAAAAAAAGAATAGCTGCATGGAGGGTGAATGGGTGAGTGAATGCAAGGTGTTTTCCTAGCGCCAATGATATAAGACTGTTTTTGTTAAAGATGTGTCTCTTTAAAGACCATGCGAAAGTCCAGGAAAGGCTGGAAAGGGAAGAAAGCTCAGAAACACCACTGAAGACATTAGTTCATTCTTGGAGGGGTCTGGGAGACACCTGTCACAGGATGAAACCCTGTTCCAAACATCTCTTCACCCTCCCACTCCCCTCCCTTCCACTCCCTCCTCCAACTCCAGGCTCAAAACCCACCTAGGGAGCCCTGGGCTGAGCTGACCCCAGCAGCTGGGGATGCTCACTAGGGGGCACTCTTCCTTCACACTGGCCCTGCCCCAGCAGCCACAAATGCTGCCCTGGGCTCTTTCCTACAAGGACTGCAAACCCAAAGACCTCCCCACATTCCTTGAAGCCTCTTGCCAAGAGCAGAGGGTCTTTCCTGGCAGCAATGACACCAAATCAGTACCCACTCAGTACAAGGTAGTTTTGCAGGAAAGGCAGGTGTCTGGGGTTAAGGTGATATTTCAAAATGACCTTCCTTCATTCACCAGCCCGAATGTCTGGCCAGTTCTTAGATCTCTACCCCCATCCCCTTCCTCAGTCTGATGGCTGTCCAGACAAGAATAAACTGAAGTGTGCACTCCTGCAGTTTATCCATTTATTTGCCAATATCCATTAGACACATCTTCCACGTGAGACTGGGAATCGTGGAGGTTCTGGGCATTTACAGAGCCCTGAGAAAGGGGAGGAGGGGCAGTGTTCAGAGCTCCTTCCCCATCGTACGACCTCACTGTTTGCAGGAATCATATCAGCCCTGTGCCTGCATGGGCACCAGAAGCGAAGAGCCTCTGAGGAAGGCCAGGGGCTCCAAAAGTGTGTACAGTTTAGGAAGTCAGGACTCCTTTACACTTAGGACAGCACCCTCTTACCTCAACCATTGTGGGGCCTAATTTCACAAATGCTCCAACTTCAGAGGATTTAACCCCCAAAGACACAGACCCTGTGAGGCAACATGTGCCTGATGGAGTTTCTGGGCCTGATGCCTGCTAGTGAAAGGGAGAAGGGCAGCGGTGGAAGGAGAGGGCTTGAGGGATAAAACCTAGAAGCAGTGGTGGAGGGAAGGGTGGAGAAGAGGGTTAAGAGGGGACAGAGGTTTTGCAGAAGGGCAAAGAGAAGAAGAAGCTTGGCTCTTCTGTTCAACCCAATGTCCAGGCTCTTCCTGCGAATTTGCTTCCTGCCCCAATTCTGGTAGGCTCCTGTTCCCATAACCTGTCAAAGGGAGCGTCCAGGGGAAGCTGGAAGGGGGAATTTCACAAATAGTCTTCCTTTGATGTTGCCACCTAGGTCCTGGAGCCCTTCCTCCCCCAATCAACCATTTGGGAAGGGGGACCATCCCCTTTCTAGCTCCATGGGAAGGGACTGCTGGGATCCCACTAAGAACTTGCTTTCTTTCATACTCTGGTCAGGCTCAGTGGAAAGAAGCTGCAGGTCTGAATGGAGGTCATATCACAGGCACAGACTCAGACCCAGGCTCAGGACGGATGAGGGTGTGGGTGCCCGGATCCCTTGCTAAGCCCTGTACACACCTAAAATGCAGCCACACCCCTGGGAGCTGCACTCTCCCGAGCAGAGGCCTTGAGCTGGCTTACTCTGAAAATTGGGTCACCTTTGCATCTTTCCTGGGCAGGATTCCAGACCCAGCCAGCCACACTGTCACCTGGGAAAAATCATTACTTGTGGGGGGGGGCGGGGGGAGGGAGTAAGGGAGAGGGGTACAAGGCAGGCTGAAAGGGACAAAGGTGGGAGGAAAAAAGCACTGGCTGTCTAGGTGAGCCTCTCTTCCCCTGCTGTAATCAAAGATTTGTGTGCAAACAGGCTGGCCAGCCCAGTGCCCTGTGCACATCTGCCTCTGGCCCATCTGAGCTGTGGTCCCACTCTCACCCAGCCACCCTGCAGAGTCAAGTACGGTTGCCAGCTCAGGCAGGCTCCACTGAGGTCCCCAACCCTGCCCTCCCTGGGAGGCCCTGCCCTCCATCCTTCTTGCAGAGAAGAGGAGAAAGAAGCAGAAAAGTGTGTGTGGATTTCTCATCTAGGTTTTGGAATCCCTGTCCCCCTTCTTGGGATGCAGAGATTTGCACTCATGGGGGCCTGTTTTGGTCTGTGGCAGGCTTGTCCACTCTAAATAACTGCCTCCTTGACCCTAGCTGCCTTGAAATGGTCCCTTTCTGCAGCCATTTCAAGAATGTTGTCAAGCATTTTTGTCAGGTGTCCCCCTGAATGCCCCTGAAAGACAGGACCGCACCATGTGGCCTTTCCCCTGATTTTGCAACCCCACAGTGCACATGCCCACACCCACTCCCACACCTCCACCAAGTGTTTCCAGGAAGAATGCTGTTTATTAGGTAAGGCAACCTGGGGACTTTCTCTCTCTCTCTTTCTCCATTCTCAAAATTCCTACCTACTGTGTCTGGTCCTTGGATGACCAAATATCCCTTAGCTTGGCACAAATGACGCGTTTTCTCATTTGTCTAAGATCCAGTCAGTACTTGAAATGCAATATTTGGCTTCCAAGTAAACGGTGCACGCGGACACACGGACACACACACACACACACACAGATACACTTTTGGGGAAAGCTTTATTAAAAATTAACAATGTTCCTGGCTATCGAGCTTGCAATTTTTCCCTGTCCCTGGTTCCCTCCAGCAAATCTGGGAATTGAAAACTCCATGCTGAGGGGAAGAGAGGAGGACTAGCCAGGGGTAGAAATCAGCCCCGACTCTCATGGTGGACAGGGATGGGCAGGGGACCTGACTTATTAAGAGGCCCTGTGTGTCCAGGGCTCAGGAATGGCACAGAGAGCTGTGAGGCAGGAGGGACAGAGCAGGCTTTCTGAAGAAGGTGGTTCCCACCGTCAAGTCTAATGGGAAGGTAAGGAAGGAAGCGTCCTGGGGGCAGAGGAGACGTGGGTACAATTAAGATCTCTTGGCTGAAGAGGGGAGTGGGGGGAAGTGAAGAAGAAACTGGAGCAGGGAGACGGCAGGTGATGAGAGGAGGGTTCCCAGAGCCTGCCTTGTCCATGTAGGGAATCCGGGTTCTGTTGGTGAGAAACGGTTCTGAGAATGAGAAACTGAGCAGTCCAGTGGTCACCGGGCTTCGTCAATTACTCTCTCCGTGACCTTGGGCAAGATGCTTAACCTCTCAGCCTCGCCTTCCTCATTCACAACACTGAGATATAACATAACTCCTTCGGAGGGTGACTGGGAGGGCTGAACCGGTGACTGTGAGAAAAGCGGCTGGTGGCACCCCGTGCACTCCGCGTAAAGGGGCGCCGATGACCACCTCGGGGAAGAGTTGGACAGAGCACCCGACGGCGGTTGATTCAGCTGGGCGGGTGGGTCAAATTAACCAGATTTTTCATTCCACATTCATACTTCCTGTGGAGACAGGTCCTGAAAGAGCTGGCTTGGGTGTTTGTAAACAAAGGTGCAATTCAAAGGTCGTCGCTGGGGGTGAAAGCAGTGAGGGTTAGGGAAGAGGGGCGGTGGCTGGAAGCAGAGTCATCTCTTCTCCCCAGGCACGATCCAAGACAAACGGATATGGACATCTCTGCATTCCTTGCCCCACCCCCTGCACACACGCGCGCGCACACGCACACTCACACGCGCACACACACTCACACTCTCACACACACACGCTGCTGGAGCTCCTCTTTGCAGCAACCCGCGGGACACACGATGTTCATCCGTTGGTGTCCTCTCGCCCGCCCATGGGTTTAGGGATGAAGGGTGAGAGCAAGGCAGGGACTGGGGTGGGGGCGGTAACGGGCCAAGCTCCGACGGCAAAGCGGGGGGACAGGGGTGACGGCGCGGCCCGCCGACCGAGCT